TGCAACTCAGAGTCTACGCTCTTGCCATAGATGCTATACTTAAAAAAAAAAAAAATAGAGTGTGCTTTCTAAATATATTTAAGGTGTAATCATTTTAAAATAGTCCACTGTCTGGCTTCATGTTGCAATGGGACTTCATTATGCTTTTGGTATTTTGAGATTGCTACGCGCCCAGTGTAGCAACCATCTGTTATCACCACCACCACCACGATCATCATCATCACTATCAATCGTAATACTACCATCACTTAAAACCCTTTATTGGGCTTTCCCGGTGGCGCAGTGGTTAAGAATCCCCCTGCCAATGCAGGGGACACGGGTTCAAGTCCTGGTCCAGGAAGATCCCACATGCCACAGAGCAACTAAGCCCGTGCGCCACAACTACTGAGCCTGTGCTCTAGAGCCCACAAGCCACAACTACTTAACCCACATGCCACAGCTACTGAAGCCTGTGTGCCTAGAGCCTGTGCTCTGCAACGAGAAGCCACCGCAATGAGAAGCCTGTGCACCTCAATAAAGAGTAGCCCGCGCACAGCAACAAAGACCCAACACAGCCAAAAATAAATAAATTAATTAAACAGAAAAAAAAACCCTTTATTAAGGTTTTAGCATGTGCAGAACACTGTACCAGGCACTTGGGGAAATACAAAGTATGTAAAATACATGTTCTTTACTCTTGAGAATACCAGAGCTAGTCTGAGAACAGCTTCAAAATGAAAAGGCAGTAAGTATCCATGAAATATGAACTGAAAATTTACATAAATATCTGGAAATTATAGGCAAAAAATAAAAATTTCTTCTACCTACAATACAAAAATAATTGAACATAATGCAAAATGAAGGGCTTTTATTTATTTAGGATAAAAGCTTCAGATCTCTTTTCCACCTTACACATATAAAGTTTTACAAAGAAAAAAAATGAAGATCAAAGTAAGCTGCCTAAAAATATACAAATCAATTTTCACTGCAAAGTAAAGGAGGTGTTACAGTGGAGGATTCCTGGACTGAATGTCAATATTATGACATAGTGTGAGTGTGTTTCGTGTTTGGTAATTGCAATCATTGTTGCTTTTGTTGTGGTCATCCATTTACAAAGCTTGGTGTCAGTTTATTTATCTCTTGTAAAAATAAAATACTGTGTGTGTGTGTGTGTGTGTGTGTGTGTGTGTGTGGAAAAAAAATGCAAAAAAAAAAAAAGTAAGCTGCCTATACTGCACCGTTCTTTATGATATTTTCAGCCTGGATCACAATATTCCCTAGTTCTATGTCAAATTAAAAATAACTATTTTCATATGTAATATGTAATTGTGTACAACAAGCTTAATGAAATAAGATTCTGACCCTTTATCTTCCAAAATATTCTAAATACCATTAGCAAAAGGAAGTTTCTAGTTCTAATCAGTAGGTTGCAAGTCTAAAATTAAGTAATGGCTCTGCCAGTTTATTCAAATGAATGTGCTTGGCTCATATAACCTACCTTGCATTTTTGAAACCCACCTGATTTATTTGATATAATACGCTAAAAGTATACATATATTTTGAAGAATAAAAAGCTTCTACTTTGTACTAATTAATATTTTTAAAGATGTTATATATGTACATTTACCTTCAAAATAAATACTAAAGCCAAACTAATTAAAATGAGGCTTAAGCTGCATGGCATAGGGAGATCAGCTAAGTGTTTTGCGACCATCTAGAGGGGTGGGATAAGGAGGGTGGGAGGGAGATGCAAGAGGGAGGGGATATGGCGATACACATATGCATGTGGCTGATTCACTTTGTTATACAGCAGAAACTAACACAACACCGTAAAGCAATTATATTCCAATAGAGATGTTAAAAAATTAATTAATTAAAATGAGGTTTAGAAGATGGCCTTAGGAAACTATTTTAGCAGATAATAAAAATAATTTGTCTGTAGTATACAAATTGTGTATAAAATGTTTTTCTGAAACACTTGAAGGTGCTTAATTGTGATTTGTACTTTCAAGCACTTTAAATATCTTCATGGCATCTTGTTTAGACTATTAAATTATTTGGCAATCCTTTTTTTCATAGATACAAAAGTAAACTTCCATGAATTTGGAACCCATGGTGTCCAATTAATGAGAATGTCTTCAGATTAGAGTAAAATCCCAATCATATTAGACTTCTCCGTCATTTCTCAACTCTGACTTTGTAGATATCCTTGACGCTGGTTCTAGTGAAACCTCCTTAAGTGGAGCAGATTTATTTTACTTTTATATCAGCTGAGTATTCCTTTTGATTTTTCCTGACAAGTTGTTTTTTGCTGTTACTTTAATCTTCACCAATCCATACAGCCAGCTTCTCATTTATTCCATTTATAAATCCCAACAAAATAATGTCTTTCAGGTTTTATACATATTAAAATTTAGAGGTGCCCTTAATTCAACAAGTTTCCTTTCTGTGAAAAACTGGAAGTTTTTTGAGAAATATCCAACCTCACATACTCATTTTTTAAATAATTTTTAAACTTTAAAGGCTGGGGAATATGATTTCTCATATGGGAATAAAGCTTAAAAATAAAAACAAAAAAGTCCTGGGTTCACAATTACCCCTTAGATAAAGTCTTAGTATTTCACTTAGTATTCAAAGTCCATAACTTGGCCCCTGATCTGCCTTCCTAGTCTTACCTTCCACTCCATCTCAAAACTATTCTCTTCGATACTTAAGTTCAAGCTATTATTCCAGGGTCCTCAACTGTAAAATGGGTTAATAATCTTTATTTCTGCTAGTTGTAGAATTTAATGTAAATTAAGCACAAACGTACCTAGTATGGAGACTAGGACATGGTAATTGTTCAAAAAATGGGAGGAGGCATGGAAGTCACACAGAGTTGGGCCTAAATCTCAGAGAACTGCTCATGGTAACACTACTCTTTCTGAGCCTCAGTTTCCTCATCTGTAAAATATAATTATACTATTAGATAGGGTTCAACATAAAGCACTTAGCACAGAAGCTGGCACAGGCTGAACGTAGAGTGAATAAATGAATGCTACTATCCTCCAAGGAAAGCAACAGAAACAGACATAGACTTCCAGAGATTCCCTTTAAATCCCCTGAGATCAGTTCCCCTCTCCAAATCAGACAACATGGGCCCTTGGAAGGCAGAGGCAAAGCAACTTCATTGGAATTGCCTTCCAAAATTTATTCCAGAAATTGGCTTTGCTCAGAATAGCTGATCTGAAATCTGGCTGCCTGTGAGTACTGAGTTTTGGCACAGTTAAAAATGAACAGTGAGACACCTTGGTCAAAGCTGGCCTAGACAATTACATGAAACAATAATCAGACAGATTAATCCATTTATGAAGTTTACAAGGGCAATTCTTATCTCTATCAGACCTTCTATCCTTGGTTACCTCTCCATGGAGAAGGAGAAATGACAAAGCTAAATAAAGTAAAAGGTACCCCCTTGTTTTTTGAAATAAATAAGAAACATTAAATTTGCCGGTTTTTAAGTTTAGAATCAAAAGCTTAAGAGTTTATGTAATAAACACAATGTACTCTTAAAATGGAAACTTCATTTCTCTATCAGAGTCCCAAGAGACAGACATTTGGTATCAAGAAGCAGGGGAAAAGGTAAGCAGCTAGTCAAATGAGGGTGAAGAGAGGAAAAGACAGCATCTGAGGGGAGGAGAAAGAGGAACTGAAGGAAGCAAAAGGGAAAAAGAAATGACCATGGAAGGAATAATAAATTCATCTAACAAAGAGGTGAAGTTCCGATGGTGAGGAATCAGATCCAACACGGAAAGGAAAGAAAATGAAGTACCCGGAGCCCAGAACTCAGTACTTTCACATTTGTAATTATGACTCTTATATTTCAGATGAGGAAAATAAACAGTGACTAAATCAACTTTACAGAGTGATTAGAACAAAAATTCAGCCAATTCTCTCACAACATAAGAAAAAAGAAGGCAAAGAAAACAACCCACTACATTATGTCATTTGACCCTCACTCACGGTCTTTATCTCATCAGCAGTATGTCAATGAGAAGGGTTTGTTTGAATCAAATACAGTTGTGGGAGAACACACCTCAGCTCTCCCATGTGTTGGCAAAGACAAGATCATTCCTTGTTCATCTTTGTCCTCTTGAACAGTGGCTTATACATAACAGCTACATCATGAAAGTTAGTTGAATTTAACCGAATAGATTATATATTACTAAAGAGTGTCCATATTCAATTTTTTATAACAACAAAGGCTTAAGGCTTTAGATATGGCAAACTCTCATCTTCCAATCAAGGACCCCAGAAAATATCCGAACTCCTCTCCTGCCTCTGGCTTCCTGCCATGAGTTGTTGATGCCGTCAGGATGAATAAAGTTAACAGAATTCTTCTTATAAAAACTAGATGCAGGGCTTCCCTGGTGGCGCAGTGGTTGAGAGTCTGCCTGCTGATGCAGGGGACACGGGTTCGTGCCCCGGTCCGGGAAGATCCCACATGCCGCGGACGGGCTGGGCCCGTGAGCCATGGCCGCTGAGCCTGCGCGTCCGGAGCCTGTGCTCCACAACGGGAGAGGCCACAACAGTGAGAAGCCCACGTATCGCAAAAAAAAAAAAAAAAGATGCAGGAAAACCACGCTCCTGGTGCATTTTATTATCTAAACCTTAATTGCATGTAGTGTTTTATATCCTTGGTTATTTGCCTATGATTCTATGTCTGGTTCTTCAAAATGAATTGTAGCTTTTTAAGTCTTTTTCCTTCCATGTATCCCCCAGGCAGACCGGCAAACTCTAGGGGTTCAATAAATGCTTCTGGATAGTAACAGTCTAACACAGAATTTAGAAAGGTCCTTCCTCTTTCTGTCTGCTTTTTTAAAAATTATATTATGACCCTCATTCTGCAAGTGTTTCTGGCAATCAACCTTTTTTAAACTAAAGGGAAGAATTGAGTAGATTAGGTTAATAAAATAGTCTCGAGTCCCTTTTGTTGTCCTTGTTTAGGCTCTTCTTATCTCTTGTTTGGATAAGCTCCTTACCTGGTTTCTCTGCCCTCGACTTCTTCCCTTGACTCATCCTTTACACTGCTGCCAGGACAGTGTTTGTAAAACACAGCTTAGTTCAGGTCGCTGTCCTCCTCAGAAAACTTTAACGGCTCTCTCTTACCTGCAGAATAAAAGTTCAGATATCCTTGGTATAGTAGTCAACACCTTCCAAAGTTCAACACCAGCCTTCTTTTCCTACCTCAATACCTTAACTCTACCCATCTGCCCCATATTCCAAGCTCAACTGACCGTCAGCTGAATATGCTGCATTTTCAAGCCTCAGTACCATGCTCATTTCATTTCTTCAACCTAGACTGCCCTTCTCTATTCTTCATCTACCAAAGTCCAACTCATCCTCTAAGACTCAAGGTAAGTTTCACCTCTCTATAAGACCACCACAGAGACCCCCAAGTAGAATGAATTATTCCTTTTCTGGGTTCCCACTGTATTATATGCCACTAATAAATACTTATTTTCTATGTATTTCTATAATGGTTGGTTGTATAATGGTTGTCTTTGCTCCTACTCTAGAAGTTCCTTGAAAGCTGGCATCAGGAATTTATTATTTTCATGTGTTTCTTTCACAGTGGTGAGCCCAAGGTCTTGCACAGAGACTGATAAATGAAAATGAATGCATGAGTGAATGACATAATGTAGTCAGGGAACCATCAGCAGTTCCTTAAGCAATGGAGTGAGACACTGGAAGTTTCTGATGGAACACTCGCCTCAGCCCTTTCAGAGACGAGAGAGCAAATCGGTGAGCTTAACTGACAATACACATTTGGCTCAAAATGACGGAAAAGCGTCCCCCCGTGAAGATGATGGCTCATCTTTAGGGCTGGTCTCCTTAAATATTAAATGAAAGAAGGCTGTTTTCCCCTCCTTTTGCCTCCACCTTGTGCTGTGGTTGCCCTTGGCCCAATATGCTCAGTGCCCAGCAAATGGGAGGTGCTTAGTAAACACTTGCCCCAGCTTCTGCGGGCCTGAAGCCCAGCTGGCCGTGATGCTCAGACCAAGAGGTTCTGTGTTTTCCTCTGCAGGTCAGGATCCCAGTGCCAGGCACTGACACAGCTGCCGCATACCAGAAGAAATGCTGGACAGAAATGAAGGAGTCAAGAAAGTGGTGGAGAGTGTGGAGAAGACCAGGACAGGGGGCAGCAGATAGCAAAGGCTAACGGAGATTCCTTGCTGAGGGCTGATGGGCTGTGGAACTTTCCATTTGGAGGCTGACTCCTATGCCTGGCTCCTGAGCACAGTCCCTGTGGCCTCTGGTGACTCTTGGCAAGCCAAGGACTTGGATCTCAGCTTAAGCGAAGCCTTCCCTTGCTAGACCCAAATGTATTCAACACCATGTGGGAAATTAAGTTTGTTTTCAACCACTCACCATACCTTGTTGTTGTGAGCCTTGGTGAGCAAAAAGGGGGTTGAGTGGAAGGTTGGAGAAATGGGATGTCTTTAACTCTCTTACTGTGTCAATAGAGTGTGGCGTTTTTAAGAGTATTTATTTTAGCAATCTTAAAATTGATGTGACTTGGGGGCTTCCCTGGCGGCGCAGTGGTTGAGAGTCCACCTGCCGATGCAGGGGACACGGGTTCATGCCCCGGTCCGGGAAGATCCCACATGCCGCGGAGCAGCTGGGCCTGTGAGCCATGGCCGCTGGGCCTGTGCGTCCGGAGCCTGTGCTCCGCAACGGGAGAGGCCACAACAGTGAGAGGCCCGCGTACCGCAAAAAAAAAAAAAAAAAAAAAAATTGATGTGACTTAAGAGAGGATTTCCAACAGGATCATATTAAGATCAAGATGGTCAGGGGATTCACAACAATATGGCAGCACGGATAAGAAGCTTAGGCCCTCTGCCCAGTTAAACCAATCTGAGTGTAAAAGGGAAAGAGTAACTCCTGTTCTAGATTGTAGAATTTTGACTGTAAGTAATTAAATCTACAAGAAACAAACACCCTATTAAACAGCCCCATGACTCCCTGATTATGGGGGAGTGGCTGCTCCTGCTTCCTCCAAACAGACCTGGAAAATAGATCCTCATGAGGCAGCAGAAAGGAAGACGCTTAACAGAACTCATGATCAAAGTATCTAGCTGCCTGTTTGGGGAAGCTCTCCAGGCTGTGTTTACCAACTCCCTGCCTCCCTTCCTCCTAAACACAGAAGAAAAGCAAAGTGGAATCCTGAAGTGCATTTCAGAAAACTCTGTGAAAATTTCAGGATTAAAATCAGGGACAGTCAGAGCTATAGAAACAATCAAGGGACTAGGTCAAGATGGATGCTGACACAGAGGCCCAGGAAATGTGGGAGACAAGATCCACCCTGTAAGGGGAAAAAAAAAATAGGCTTCTTAAATATTTTGACTGATATTTCCCCAAAACCTTTGGGAGCTATAGTTATATATTTAGATGAGTGTTTTCCCTCTCATTAAGGAAGACAAATCATCTACAAAAATAACCACAGGAGGCAACAGGGGGAGGTAAGTTCTCTAAGATTTATATGTAATTTGTGTTTGATGCACAGAGGGAGAGACTTTCCTAGCTGGGGGAGTGAAGATGACTTCGTGGCAGGGGTAAGGGGGCACATGGACTGTATCTTCAATGATTTTGACAAGCAGAGGTGAGGAAGGGCATTCAAGGAGAAGACAATGTGAATAAAGGCATAGAGACAGTTCAGATTGGTTGATGGGTAAGGTTTGTGATTTATGAGAGTAATGCAGAATGAGAATGGAAAGGTGAGCTGGGACCAAATCATGAAAGGCCTTTAGCACAATAAGCCTTGAGCACAAGAAGCTTGGGCTGTACTCAGGAAGCAATACGGAGTCATTGAAGGTTCATGGGCAGTAGAGCCATGAAAGCTATGAGTTTTTGATTGGTTGATTATTTGCTTATTTTCCAGGTGAGAAGGCAGGGATAGACTGGACCAGGGAGGAGAAGGAGGCAGAAAGACCATTTGGGAGACTATTGCAATAATCTGGTGAAAGGGGATGACGGTTTGAACTAGAGAAATAGAAACATCTGATGATGCAACTGACACTGATGGTCTGGAATAAGCAAAGAGACCTTTAAAGTGATTAAATCAAGCAGAACTGTCAGTATGAGCATCTCAGTGGGACCCAAAATGTTTTTGCAGTTCACGGAACTAAAAGACAAAGTCCACAGTGATTGGTTTTCTGAAAGGCTAACATGGCTATTCATGGGACAGCCAAATATCCACTCTCTATTGGGAAAACAGGCATTCTGGAAGCCACAGGCCTACAGGAGCATCTTCGAACATAAAACATAATAAATGTATTAAGAAACAGATGGTTAAATAAAGAACTGTCCTAGAATTCATAAAAGGAGAAGTACCAGTGACCTATAATAGTTTTTAAAAATATAAACCTCATTGCCACCAACTCTGATTCCTCACTGCCTTCCAGAAGAGACCCAGGAATAGTGGTTTCCCAGCTCTGACCACAGGGGGTGGGTGGAGGAATAAGTAAAAGAAGAAGGGAGGAAAGGAGAATGTCCAGGGGAAAAGAGGGCTAAAGCTGACTCAGGTAGGCTAAAAGAGCACAATGAGAATAGTAAAAAAGAAAAACAAAGTTTGCATCATAATCTGGACTCTGAGAATGTTTGCAGTCAGCTACTAGTAAGACTGTATTTTTTCCTGGCAATGCACGCATGCCTCCTCAGACGTTACAGACTGTAACACAAGGTTACATGTAGAATGTGAAATAAACTGCTAAATGTTCAGAAAACAAAATCTCCTATTTTACACACAGCAAAAAATGTTCTATCTCTAGGAAATGACGCTAAGGAAATAGTAATTGTGATTTGTAAATATTTTTGTTTATATTAGTGAAAATTGGAAGTAACGCAAAAGTCCATAATTGGGGATTTCTTAAATAACTTTTAGTTCATCCATACAATGAAATACTATGTAGCCATTTAAAAGTATGCTGCAAAACATTATGTAGTGGCTTGGAAATTAGTCTGTTATACATTAATTGGAAAATTTGTGAGCAAAGCAATATATGAAATACAATATCATTTTGAAAAATATATGATATATGATTGAAAAACTATACGATATACCATGGCTAAAGTTAACCATGCATATCTCTGAGGGGTAAAGTAATGAGTGATAGTTATTTCTTTCTATCCTTTTAAATAAAGTTACTATAACAAACATTTACTACCATAATAAGAAAAAGGGATATTTAAAAATAGAACTGGTTAATAGGCCTCATCACTATAATTATCATAACAAATATTTGTTGAGCACCTCCTATGGGCCAGGCACCGACCTAGGTGACCGGAAATCAGGCAATATCCCTGCTCTTGTGGGACTTACCACTTAGAAGATTTCATTTTTATTGCTTAGTCAGTTAAAGTGGGGAAGGTTAAGTGCCTTTATATCAAGACTCCATTCGTTGGAAAAAAACAACATCCAGTTCAAATTGGCTTTCGCAAAAAGGAAAATTCAGGAGTTCACAAAACTGAAGTCCATGGGTAACTGACTTCACACATTGCTAAATCATTTGGAATCTTCAGAACTTGATATCTCATGAAATTTCAGACTACTTTTCTTTGTGATCACTTCATTATCAGTAAGGCTTTCCTGATAGTGTTACGATGGCTGCCTACCACTCCAGACTTGTATCCAGTATCCCCAACAACCACAACAGAAATACAGATACTAGCTTTCCAACAGTTTAAAAAAAAAAAAAAAAAAAAGGATTGAGTCCAGTTGGTTCTAACAATATCATGTGGCAGCCCTTGAACCACTCACCATGGCCCGAGGAGCATAATGCCCTGATCGGCCAATCCTAGGTTCATATAACCTCCGCTGGAAATGGACTGAGAGTAGAAGAGACATTGTCCCGAAAGAAAATCACAGGGCTGTTACCAGAACAAAATATGGATGCTGAGATGGTAAAACAACTGAGATGTCCACTATGGCCTTGCAGTAGAAGCCCAGAGGCAAGATGAACAGATCGGAGTCCTGGCTTCAAAGGATGAAACTTCATCCGAAACACCAAGCTGCATTTTGACACTGTATCTGATGCAAGCAGATGATGTGAATGTCACCAGGAAAATTTACTTTTAGACTGACATCAACCTAATTGTAGATATATTTT